TTACTCAGTACTGACCAGCACTGGGGCGTTGTTCTGTGCGTCAGGTGGCTGCACAGCATCTCCTGTGTGCAGCATGAGGTGGACCTACCTGCTTCTGTCAACTGCTTATCGTGCCCTGGAGTCCCTTTGGTGACAAACTACTTTATAGATGGATCCTTTACATGTCTGGGGAGTCAGCGGTTGTTTTAAGCTGGCTCTTTTCTTCAGAATCTGACTTAAGCCTCCATACTGAAGCGAGGGTTAATGCTGGTCGTTTGTTTTCTCCTTGTATGAAATATCCATCTCCTTATAGCTACAGTGTGTTTTCCTGTTAACCCAATAGAAAAAAAGAAAGGCGGATGTGATGTGCTGTAACCCTGTTGCCATCTCCTCTATTTAAAGCACAGGCTCTTATGCTGACACATAGCCATGCTGCAGTCTTACCAAGACACCAAGGCATTCTGTTTCATTGCTACAAAAAGTGTCCTTTGTCAGTGAAAGCCTTTCTGCTGACCTTTGTTCTGCTGGGTGTTTTCCTAATCTATACGTGTATATTGCATTACTTCTTTGTTCATACCAATTGTAAGATCTCTGTTAGGATTTTCTACAAGGCAAGTTTATTGGTAGGAAAACACTGGAGAGAAAGATTCAGAAGGGCAGTTACCTGGAACGGGTTTAGGAAATTTCACCAAATACAACTGGACTCCTTGATTTAAAGGGGAAGTAACTTTTGACTGTACTGTTGTGCTTTGGAACAAAGCAGAAATGGTTGTATGTAAGCAGATGTAACAAGTGCTTCTGGTTTGCATTATGTAAATGAATTAGGTTGGAAAAATATGGATTACTTGCATACGTGATTAACACAGCATAATGAATAGCTTCTACTTCACTATCAAGGATTTCTCGTTAACCAGTGCATAGCAGGGAAAGGGAAGAAGTTGGGCAGCTCTTCCGTGTTTCATGGTTTATATATCTTTACCACTGCTTCCAAGGTTGTGTCACTTAAGTTGTTTCCCAAGCTAACTGCAATGTGTTTCCCTCAGAAATAGATTTTTGCTGGCATGTTGCCTTTGAGTGTGCATGTCACTCATCCTTGCTAGAAAAACTGTCTGTGTGTAAGCTTTGTGAACAGCTGAACCAAGTTAAACACAGCAAAGCAGAGTGGTGCCTGTAGTGCTGGTTGACACAGTAGTGCTGGCTGTAATCAGATGAGAACCATCACTGGTATCAGCAGAACAACGCAGGAACTCAGTGCTTATTCCTCAGGTCCCTGGCAGCCTCAGAGAGAGCTCCTGGAAATCTGCCTTGTAGTGTCATTGCTTGTGCCAGCTGTTCTCTCTGCAAGTGAGTCAGTGGGGTGGTGAGTCTCTGTGCAGCAATAGTGTTCTCACCTCAGTGTAACGTTCAGCAGTTCTGCTTCGGGGTACAAATTCAAACTCTTGAAAAACCTTTAAGTTTGCTTAATTTATAGTTGTTGAATTGGGTGTGAATGTGTTCTGTAGCTGCTGATAGTACACTGTGAAAGTATCTGGTTTAAATATTATTTCATCATGAGTTTTGTGATGTTCTTTTGTAATGAGAGGAGCAGGCTTGCTCTCAGTATCTGCAACAGATTTCTATTATTTCTCATGTTTTCATGCCTGCTGTTGGTTTAGCATCTGTATTTTAAATTCTAACAGGAGCATTGTGGCAGAACAGTTGTGATTTTACTGCATTTTCAGTGAACCGGTGTAGTACTGCTGACATGCCGTAATCGTATGGCAGAACGTTTGGAATGGAATGGACCGTAAGGCCCATCCAGCTCCAAAACCTTCCATGGGCTGTCTGCCTCCCTCCCAGTCAGGCTGCCAAGGGCCCCTTTCAGCCTGGCCTTTGGCACTTCCAGGGATGGAGCAATCTGCTTTGTGACCTGTTGTACCTCACCAGGTTCTCACAGGCCCGCTTCTCAAGCCTGTCCAGGTCCCTTTGGATTGCATCCCTTCCTTTTATTGTGTCAATTGCACCACTTAGTTTGATGTCATCAGCAAACTTGCTGAGGGAGCACTTGGTCCCCCTGTCTAGGTCATTGATAAAGATGTTGGGACTTCTGGTCCCATGTCAGAGCCCTGGGGAGCACCTCTCATGGCAGGCCTCCAGCTGGACGTAGAACTGCTGACCACAACTCAGCAGTCTAAGAGTTCAGAGTCTCAGGGAAATAAGCTGTTCAACCAGTCCTTATCACCTGTCCTTTTTTTACAGTGAGATCCCAGGTTTCTGTTTCCTGGCGGTGTTCAAGAGGTGTTTGATGAGGAGCTACAAGATATGGTTTAGTGCTTGTGATAGCAGTGGTAATAAGAGGATGGTTGGACAAGATGATCTTGCAGGTTGTTTCCAACCTTGTGATTCTATGATTCTATCTCTCAGAGGGAAATAGAAGCAACTGTTCTACCACCAACTTCAAGATGTCTCATAATTTAATGACAGTAATGAGGTCCCCCAGAGCCTTCTCTTCAACAAGAGGACCTTTTTATTAGCAGAGATGCTCCTGTCCTTTTTTGTAGCTTGGTTGCCATCCACTGGGCTATCTCCAGTGTGTCCAGGTCTCTGTGGTACTGGGAAACTCAAACCTCAATATTGGCTTCACCAGGGCTGAGCAGAAGGGAATGGGATGATGACCTGCAGCTGCTGGGAACACCTCTCGTAAGGCAGTTTGGGGAGAGGTGATTGTCAGTGAGATCTGAGGCAGAAGAGTTGTGGAGTGCCTCAGCATCCTTTCCCTTCCAGGACATTCCGTCCCCATACTGTCCCAGCTGAGACCAGGCTACCTGCTTGTTATTTTTCATGTATTTTGCCAAGTTTGGTTCCATTTTTGCCTTGGCTTTCCTGTGTATCTAGGCAGCATCCCTCTGCTCTGCCCAGCACGCCTCCCTGCTTCCTCTGCCTGCACATTTCCTTCTTACCCCTCACTTTGAGCAGTGTGTCCCTGCTCAGCCTGCTGGTTTCCTGCCTCCTCTGCCTGATTCCTTACCCTGGGGGATGGAGAGCTGTTGTGTTCTCAGGCTGGCGTCCTTAAGAGGTGCCGGCTCTGCTCTGTTCCTTTTTCCCTAAGGGACAGCTTCCCTAGGGATCTCGTTTGGTATTGCCTTAAAGAGCCCAAACCAGCTCTTCTGAAGCTCGGGGCCCTGAAGTTCCTTTTTGCTAGGCCATATTTCTCGAGAGCCCAGACCGACTCTAATCTGAACCTCTTTGCTGAGCTCATCCGAACTGGTGAGCACCGGGTCTGTCACACTTCATCAGTTTGTCTGATGGCTAAGGGAGCCAAGCTGTGTGCTGCTGTTAAAACCCTCTTTGTTTCCATTCCTTACGTAAACATCCCATGATGCAAACCTCGAAATTGCTTCCTTTTCCAACCTGCACTCAGCACTGTTATAATCTGTCCATTTTTTCCTCCTAGCTGATTACTCAGCATTTTCTTTCTGCATGTCGTCTTGCTTAGACATAACTTACCATGTCCTCCGAACTTATTTTAAGGAAAAACCAAGAAAAATGTGAAACAAAAACAGCTTTGTGAAACCACTTTTTGAAACTTGAAATTTTCAATTACCTACCAAGTTACAAAGCAAGAAGTTGCCAAACTTGCTGGTTTTGCTTAGCCTTACTGGGTAGTTACCAGTAACATTTGAGAGAAAAGAACCTTTCTGCCGTATGACAGCCTACAGTTAAATACAGGTTTCGGTGTTTTAGGGGGGAAGAGAAGAAGTGTGTATCAATTCCTTACAGAGAAAACATGTCCAATGTTGACACAAACTCAACACTGGGAATTGTCTCTGAAATTCACGTACCGGTACATGAATCATGTGTCAATTGTTTAAAAAAAAATACAGAAAAAAAAGAAACAGCTGTCATAAAAGCAGCATACTTTATATACAGCCTTTCTAAATGAAATGTCTCATAACTGAGACTTTTTCCAGAATCTCGTATTCTTCTGTACACCGGCTGTTTTCCTTACACTGTTTTCCTCTGTTTTCAACACCCATTGTTAACATCAGTATCTTAAAGAAATGTTTTCCTTATTGCAGATTTTTTGACTGGCTCGTGGAAATAGCAAATTCCCTTTAACTCAGTTCACCTCTGAAATGTAGAGCAGGCTGTGTTCTTACAGTTAACAAACATGAGTTTTCCAGCAGCAGACTGTGCAGTTATTTCAGCTTTTTTAATTATAATGAGTGTGTGCCAACATATTTTCAAAGCTATGCGTGTATGATAGTCACAGGATTTTGTTCTCACCCGGTTGTCTTCTGTACTTTCAAATGAACGTGAAATAAAATTGCCTTTTAAAGCAAGCCTATCCTTTAATGATTCCCATCCATGAATGAAGGTCCCACAGTAACCCTCTGAAGGGCTTTCTAGTCTTTGCTACCTTTTCTTCTGCTATTTATACCCACTGGATTTGCAGGGTAAGAAACTCGTTCGTTCCTTGCTTTGCTCCAACCATGAACTCAATGCTGCTTTTCTTTCTACTCTTTCTCATGATTTGTTGAAAGAAAAATAAGGCTCTGCTCACCTCCCATCTGTTTTCTGAACGTGTTGGTAGTGTCTGGGCTGTGTCCCTCTAGGATTTCTTCCTTCTGCACCATTCACGCACAAGCAAGCAAGTTTTGTGATGAACTTTGCTGTCATGGATTAAAATACCTTTGAGGATGATGCATTTTGCCCTAAGAGCACACCATGCCATAGGGAGGCTTTGGAGAAAGCACTGTGGCTAGGGTGGAAATTCAAAGAACAGAGTCCCAGAAGCAGTGAGGTCCAAAGGTGTGACTGCAGAGTAAGTTTGTTCTAAGCCGTGCTGGTGCCAGCCTGTCTGAGCACACAGTGAGAGATGGCCTTCTGCAGCTGAGCGTGACCACAGTTTGTCTTGCTGCGAAATGTACAAAAAGTGTTCTTGCTGTTTGTACGTGGCAGCAGCTGCCCGTGTCATTTCTTTTTACCATGAACTAAACCAATTGTGTGGGGTTTTTTTGTGGTTTTTTTTTTCTTCCTGCTCTCTTCAAAATAGAGACGACGCACTTTTACATTGAGCACTGGAAGCATCAAGTAGTTATTAACCTGATAAAAACCTAATGAAATCTGGCTGGAATCACGGTAACATTAGATTTTATTTTGTTATGAAGTGTGTCAGTGGAGTGCATTAGGAGCAGGTCGCTGTGCAGAGCATGAAATGGCTGCAGGAAGGGACGGGGCAGATCAGCTCCTGGCTGGAGGGGTTCCGGGTCAGGGCTGGGAGGAAGCCGTAGCTCCGTGTTCTCTGGGTACAGGCTCTGCTTGTCAGATCCTGGTTGTGTTCTTTTGTCAGATCCTGGTTGTGTTCTTTTGTCAGATCCTGGTTGTGTTCTTTTCTTCATGTCGCCATCTGTATCCCAGTCAGCTCGTCCTTCTGAAGGGGAAAGAAACGTAAACTTCTGAAGTAGTGCTGGCCGATGCATCTAATGCTGCGCTCACTGCAAGCCTTCTTCAAACAATGACAATTCCCAATTCATTGTGCATGCACAAAAGAAACAGGATGAAAGCTGTCTTTCATCTCTTTGGGTACAACAGAAATTTCTGGGCTGCTTAAAATTGAAGTTTGTCAGATGGTTTAAAATCAACAAGTGCATACATAGTTCAGTGCAGCATAAGCTGTCCCATGATTACGCCTTCCTGTGGCCTGTGGCAAAAATAAATCTATCTGGGAGGATACGTGTAGCCATCAGTGACTGGGACAAGCATTTGAGTGATTATTTATACTGACAGGACATACTCATCCCTGTTATGTGATACTTAATCTTTTCATACACTAATTGATTTGTGTAGGTGTGTTCATCCCTTACGGAAGTGAAGCTTATGTGATTGTGCTCTTCCTGCTGCCTGCCTTCTCTGTGTTGCAGCTTTTGAGCCTGTCAGCAGATGTTCCCAAATTTCATGTTCTGGTAGGCTCCTTGGAAATGGGCAGCTGCATCTAGGTGAAAAATGGCAACGTGATCTTAATGTAATTAAAGAAAGGTAAAAACAAAGCTAGTTATTAATGAAGACACAATTTCCTACTGCGTAGAAAAGACTTGAGTAGGCATTCTCAGATCAGCTGGAATATTTTCAACTTGTGGAAATACTTGAGTTATAATGCCTTGAATTATATTTTGTTCATTAACTGATGATTTATAACATCATTTGGAAGCAGTCATTATATTCCCTTTTACTGGCACAGGGTTCAAAGTGCAGGGCAGTCACAGTGCTTGGTGGCAGTCATTACTTTGTGCCTGCCTGCCCACTCACATCCAGGTACTTTAACAGCCACATTCCCTTCTTTCAGAACCCTCAGTACTGTTCCCTACTGCAATAAAACAAAATGGAAATATTTTTATAATTGTTCAATATTGCAGTTTTCATTTTTATGTCTCCCTAGGCTGGTTTTTCCTGCTAGAAGTTTGTGCAGTTATCATGAAAAAATTGCTGCTCATACAGTAGTTTGGATTCTAATGGATTCTAGATTGTGTGCCTCATTGGTACATAAGCAATAAGATAAGATTCTTCAGCTTGATTGTTGTTGAACAGTAATTAGGAGCTTAATGGCAGTTGAGAGAACTAAGCTCTGTATAACATGGTTTCTTATCCTTAGAAATACTGGCAGGCTCTTGAAATGTGACTTGTGCTGACCAGTGAGACCTGCAGGCTGGGCTGTGTAAGTGCCAGTATGTGCATGTGGCAACTCAGATGGATTCAGGTGTGTGCAGGATGGTCATTTCTGATGGGATTAAGCTGATAGATTTTCTTTTTCCCTATGTTCTCAGTGAAAATGGTTGAATATTAATACATTAATTTTACTGAGCATATTTTGTAGGCTTAGAAAAAATAAGCTTTAACGTGTGCTTCTGCTGTATGTGCTTACTGTGTGGTTCCAAATGTAAATTAATCCTCACCTTCAGTAGTTGTGTTTGTTATGTGCAGTGCTCTTTCTCCAGGAAAACTTCAGTTCTGCAAATTCAGCCTCCTTCGGGCTGCCAAGAACAGCAGTGCTGGTCTGGATGCTTCATTTATCTGCTTTCTTAAAGCACAAAGCTTATGTAGCTTGGCAGAGCTCATCACAGGAACAGGCTTCAGAATTGTCCTTGAAAGTCTTGTAAATTGAGAAGATTTCTAAAATACTTCTCTTAAAAACATTTTCACCCTTGCGAGATGTAGATTTGTTCACAGCTGGAATTTAGTGTAAAAGTCCTGAAGTCCACTGATAATGCAGTGTATTTGAGCAAGTTGGTAGTACTCTTTTTGGTGGTGTGGCTGACACCTCTATGTGCATCTGCAGCAAGGGAGAACTTTCCATACAGTCACTCTTGAAATACCTCTGTGGAAGTACAGTTTCACAGTAATCGCAGTACGCAGGCTTTGGCTTTGCACCGCAGCTTCAGAAACTTGTGTTACTCAAATGTGGCCTCCTTTCTCAAGCTGTGTTTTGCACAGAATGTAGAGGAGGTTTAGGCTGCTTGTGGTGATGCAGTTGGGAACACCTCGCGTGGAGTGTTGTGTCCTTCCGACGGAGCCGCTCAGCTAACCTGGCTTTCCTTGTTGGCAATAGCACTGCATGCTGCAGATGCCCGGGTCGGTGCTGCTCACAGGTCCAGAGGCTGAGCAGAAAGTGGGCAGCAGATGGAGCTCAGATGGACACATTGGGTGCTTGAATGGTTTTGACCACAGCAGGCAGTGAGGAGTTGGCACAGGGAGGGAATGTGGCACAGAGGGGCTGCATCAGTGAGTCTGAGCAAGGATGTCGGGATACTGCGGAGTAATCTGTATCTGAATTACTTCGGAGTAATCTTAATCTGAATTAAATAGCAGCATGCTATTTAATTTGTCTGTAGACGTCAAAGCTACGTGATGTGTATTGGCCCCATCTGCTTTTCCCCATCCTTGAAAACCAAATAGAGAATTGAGTGCATGAGTTCAAAGAATAGCAGGAATACCAGCCTGCTTTAGTGCCATGTGCAGAGGGTGCTGGGAGGGTCAGGAGAGCAGACTGCCCTGCGAGGGAAGGCTGGGCAAGGGTGTCTCATCCTCTGCCAGAGGCAATGTTTCCTCTTCAGTGTTCTGGAATTACAGCCCCAGGCCGTATCCTCAGTCTGACCAAATGGAGACAAAAGACTAGAGAAACAGGTTTCTCTAAGCTTACTTTTTAATTTCATAATTTCTTTCTTCTGTGCTTGTGGATTTGTTTGATAGCTTTTTGAGTTCTTCAAACTGCAATAATTTCTTACCCCAGGACTCAGGATATCAATAAAAGCAGTATTTCAGACAGAAGAGTAAACACTGGTAACATAAGAATGTTGTTCTCACAGTTGATGGGCAAGTGAGGAGACAAGATCAGAAGATCTTGTTGGTCAGGACATGAGTGCTTACAGATCACGTTGGGTAAAGGCTAAGCCCTTAATGAACCACGTTTGGTACTTTAGAAAGGGAAGGAAACTAGAAAGAGAACGACTGTGGCAGTGTTGTTTGCAGTGTAATGCGTCTGCACATCAAAAAAAGAAAAAGAAATCATTTCTGAGTGTTGGAGGGTTGATGTGTTGACATTCTCTTTATCCAGGTTCAGGATCCAGCCCATATTATGGCTGGCACTGGATCCAAGTCAGGATTACCTGGTGGGCTGTATATGAAATCACAGCTTCAGATCACTGGTAAGTTGTTATTATGTATCTTTTCCAATCAAAAACGTACAAGGAAAAATTTTCATTTGTTTGTTTGTCTCCCAGTAATTAAAGAGTAATTATAGTAGCATGTTGTGTTTTGGCAAGCTTTTAATAATGCAAAGTCCACGAGAAGTAGCAAAATAAAACTGACGGTGTAACAAAGTTGTGACTTGGCAGAAATACGTAGGATTTTATCACAATCTGTTTTGAAATTATACTTTTTTATGTAAGGAATGAAGAAATTAATAATTACTTTTGAGTAGCATTAAGTCAGTTGTACAGAACAGTAGGAGAGAACTGGGTAACTTCTGTTTGAAATGTAACAACATAATAAAAGTTCTTTCTGTTGCTAACAGCTGGCACAGCACTGAATCTTAACAATTTCACAATTGTTTTTACATCTTAAACTAAGTGAATTTGCACTGCTGTTTACTGCATTTGACTCTGTTAAATGTTTTCATTCGTGATGAGGGTGTTAGTGTAATTGAGGACTTGTAGATTGCATAGGACTGGATTTACATGGCCGTGCTTTGCTTTTTGTAGTGCCACACAACAGAACAACTGCTGAAACCTAGCAGGTTTCTCTGCTCTCTGACTGACAAATTTTACTCAAGTGTGAAAGCTAAAGCCTGAGAATGGAAGGTCTGTGGGTGTATGCATGTGTGTATTTAGAAGCATTAGGGCTAAACTTTGCACCCTCAAGGTGGGGATATGTGAAGAAGTTGTGCAAATGAAAGGAATTGTCATAAACAGATGGGAAAACTTCAGGCAAAACAGAAGAAGAGAAGTGAATAAATTGTGCTGCCCTCACTGTCACTTTGAGGACACAAACATGATTTTTCTCACTGAAGTTTGAGACCTGAAGAAAAATCTCTTCTCTGCAGATTGATATTGGAGATGAGAATTGAAGATGTTTCAAGGGCGGTGTGTCTTCCCATAGCCAAGGGAAACCTAGCTGAGGATTACAGGAGTGATGCCTGTGTGAGGTTTGCTGCGTTAAAGGCACATAAAAGGAAAGAATTGTCTCATCTTTAGGATGAAGACAATTATGATGTTCATTTCTTAATTTCTTTCTTGTTCAGCCACAGTCTGCAAAACTTTCCTTTGGTGCAGGCAGACTTTGCTTTCTCCTAGTTCAGTAAACAGCAGCCCCCATCTGTCTCCCCCTTCTCTCTCCATTCTGCTGTTCTCAGTTGGCTTCAAATGAACTTTCAGGTTGTCTGGTAAGTAAGAACCTCAAAAGTAGGCACAGGACTGCTGATTTGTGCTGAGTCAAATCAGATCTTGATGTCTTTGAGGCAGCTAGTGATGTTGAGGCATGAATTGCTGCAGTATCCAGGTACTGGAGGCATCAGGGGAAGGTAATTCTTGAAGATCAGTGCCAGCTAACAGAACTAATTTCAATGAGAGCTCATAAAGAGAGAGAGCTTCCCTTGGGAGCAGTTCAGATCAGTTTGTACTAAGCTACTTCTCTAAGTCTCTAAAGGAACATAGACTATAAAAGGAATATAGGTAGATTAGGCATATGGGCTTGAATTGATCATCTTTTTTAAATCATGTAGTGCAGCTTAAGTCGTGATGAAAATACAAGAGACCAGACTGACACTTGTAGCAACAGAGCAGGGTTCATTGGCCACTGGTTGTGAGTACTGATTTGTAAGCTGAGTGCTGTCAAAGAATCCAAGAACTCTCCTTATCTAAGAGCCAAATAAACATTGGGGTAGGCACATGCAGAGCAAATCAAGACAATGCACTCGGTGTTTGGCAAGACAGGACTATTGTAGTTGATGCTGAATGTTTAAAAAAATGAAAATTTCAAGTTTATGTTGCTGTCCAGGTATTAATATAAAGAATATATTTACTAGCATGAGAAAAGCTCTAGAGCTGCAAGTCCCGTCCAAGTTTTGCTGTAGAACAGTAGGTAGTTATTAGAGCTCCAAACTGCCCTCCTGTTAGATTTTGTGTCAGTTGGCTTTGATACAGAAAACTCAACAAAACTTTCCTTTTCTTAAACATCTTCTCATCACCAGCAGTGGCACTTGTCCAGGGTTCATTAGTGAGGAAGATGGATCGTGTTTCCAGCTTTATCAGAAGCAAGTGTAAAAAACTGTGGGAACGATCCTGGCTGGGGACAGGGAGCAGGTTAGGTAGGCTGTAGGTGATATTTTCTGCTTTCAGCACTGAAATGCTTTTGGGTATCTAAAACTGATAATTATCAGCCATGGTGTCTGATGCAGTGGAAGAAGTACTGCTATGTTTTTAGACTTTTGTGTGAGATGTAACGCTGGACAAAATAACCTGAAATGCAAACACATTTGTTTTCCATGTGTGCTTTCTCTCCTGAGCATTACTGTCAGCCATCAGCGATCTCATACTTGAATACTGAAGTAGCCAGCTGAGAAATATTATTTGATGTTGAAATATTCAGTCATCGATTATAACTTTTCTCTTTCTTAACAGTTATTTCAGCAAAACTAAAAGAAAAAAATAAGTGGTTTGGACCAAGCCCTTACGTGGAAGTCTCAGTAGATGGACAGTCAAAGAAGACAGAAAAATGCAACAACACAAATAGTCCAAAGTGGAAACAGCATCTTACAGTGTATGTCTGATGGTTTTGTTTTCTAGTTTGAGTTAAATTAGTGCTGTGCAACTGACTGTGGATTTAAGGGTGGGTTGTGTTATTATTTTAGACGAGGCATTTTGCATTGCACAGGATAGAGAGAATTTTTGAGGGCTAATATACTCCATTCCAACCTATGTACTTATAAAACCATTGCATTGTGTCCCACAGAAAAGATATAGTGCTTACAAGGAATTGTAGCAATGTCTGTAGTGTAAGAACTCAGCTCTAATCGTGTAAATAGTAGGAAAGTGAAGGTAATCTGGTGAAGCTGACAGTTCCATTCATGTTTTGATTGTCACAATTAAGGTTAGTTTTTTGTGGCTGAAAAGTGTAGTTTTGTGTGGCAGTGTCCTGCAGCGTGCTGTAGCACTGCTAGGTGGCTGAGTATAATCACTTCCCACTTCAAGCACAAGCACAAAATTGCTGTTGCATTTATAGTACAAAGTACAAAGCTAGCATTAGTTTCAAGAAGGAATAGAGTTGGTGTTTGTGTTGTGAGATGACAGGAGGTATGAAGCAGTGATATTAAAAAAGAGATCTGCAGCTTCCATTTATTTTAACTGTAATGTCATCAGGTGTTTGGTGGTGCTCTTCTTTCTGCTGTTGTCAGAATACTTCTGTGAAGGAAAAAGAAAAGTCTAGGCTTTCAGGCTTTTCTTTTCACTGTGAGAGCTCCTATATTCTCCAGGGCTTTCCTGCTCACGTACGCCATACCACCAAAATGCCTTCCTGCAAAATTCCAAGCCACATTTAGAAATACAGCAGTTAGCATGGTTTGATTAAGCCTGTTTTGGAGATAGAGGGGAGACAGTAACTAACTGCTCTCTAAAAAGGATAATTGCATTGGCATATGTTTCTTCTTCAGTAAGGGGCTCTCTCAGTATGTAAGTGCTGACAGTTTGGGAGTGGAGGGCCTCACAGCACAAGGTAGAGTGCTGTCAGCTTCAGAATGTGGCCCTGCTGGTGGCTTCTCTAGGAGCAGACACTCACGGTCTCTGCCACCAGCAGACAAATGGAGCTGCCTGCGTGCTGGGCACAGATTCCAGCATTGTGGTTCTATAGCCTTATCAGCCAGAGGAGGCTTTTCACAGTGCCACAGTTTGTACTCTGCTTTTTAAAATAATTTTTAAGTGACAGTTGATGTACATTGCTCAGTTCACCCAAAACCTTTACACTAGTGCTTAACTTCTTCTTTTCAGAATTGTCACTCCTCTAAGTAAATTAACCTTTCGAGTCTGGAGCCATCAAACGTTGAAGTCTGATGTCCTCCTGGGAAGTGCTGCCCTGGATATTCATGAGACTTTGAAATCAAACAGTATGAAACGTAAGTACAAGTTTGAGTGCAGTGTGTAACGCTCTGGTGGGCATTAAGTGTTCCTTTTCTTGCTACAGATTGCATTTCTGAGCATCCTCGCAATCGTTTGTTATCATCTTTATTTCCTTATACACAACCTGTCGTGGTGTCAATGGAAGCCTGATGTTTTTCACTTTGCTTTTATGTGCAGGAGTGAAAGTGTAATGAAAGAGTGGTTCCTTTTACATAGCCTAAAAACAGATACATATCTGGTGCTAGAGGAGAAAGTGAGTGAATGTTGTTGAAGTTTGAAGTAGTGTATGTTGTACCATTTAATGTGTCTTAGAACCAGTTAGCTTTGAGGCAGTATGTGCACTGTGGAGCTTCCAAGTGGATCATCACACCCATTATCAAATTGTCTTGCTATATACTGCATACTGATGTGCTCTCATCCTTGTTCTGACTTTTGCTTCCTGACTTTCAGATGTGGGCACTCAAATTGCAGCATGTTGATAGCAATGTAATACGGTTTTCTGCTGACAGTCACTGTCCTGTTGTGATTGTAGCTGAAAATTATAATTCCACTGCTCTGTGTAACAGTGGGTGTCATGCTGTATGGTACTGGATACTGATTCAGGCATTTCAGCCAAGAACTGGGATGTACCCACAAAGTACCTCTGACTTAGGGACGTGACACAGAATCCACATTTAAAATGCAAAACTACATGTCACTAGATAAATGTGCTATGTTTTACTCCAAGATAGACTTGGTAGTTGTTCTGCATGAAGAATGAGGTGAATTACATCTTCTGTCTATAGCTCATCAAGGACAGGTATATTAATTGCTTAAGAAGTGTGGGCAGAAACCAGAGGCTGCATTTCTCCTATAAAGATACACCTTTCTTTAGGCAGCAAAAAGCTTGTGCTCTAGTTCTCCCTACTTTATAGAAATAATAAGCTTGCTGACACGTGGGAATGATTAGCTGCACCACGCAAGGTGTAGGAAATTATGCAGGGTGCAAGCAGAAGTTGTGTATTTTTTCTTGATTGCTGTGATCTCTTTCATTATATACTAAGGTAAACCCTGACTTTCTTGTTCTTTTTCAGTTGATCAGGTAGTGGTAACACTGCATCTTCTTGGTGACAGAGAGCCAGCAGAAGTGGTAGGAGATTTGTCTGTCTGTCTAGATGGGATGCAGGTAGATCCTGAGCTCCTGACCAATGGTGATGCCTCAAGTACAAGAAGTAAGTGACTTTCAGCTTAAATGTACAATGTATATAATATCTGGTATACAAAGGTTTTTTGTTTTTTTTTTTTTACTGAATGCTTGAATGCAGTGTTTTAGTAATGGTAACGAGTGGTTTATTTAACTTGGTGTTTGTAGAGACCAGAGCTTTTATGTGCTTTTATTTGCAGTGGAGTCATAATCAGCAAAGATTATCAGCATGACTGTAATGCAAATAAGATCAGCACCTTAATTTTCTGAACTTTGCTTGCTTTATCTAGGAATTACGAGCTACCATTGTGCCTTACTTTAACGAAGGCTTTTAGCTTCCCTCAATTTTCCTAAGCCTATAAGCAAAAAAGCAATATAAAATGGATAAATTTAGTCTCATAATAGTAAGCATTCTGGCTAGGAAGCAGCTTTATATTGAATTTTTGTTAGATATCTAAATGAAATGCTTACAGATTTTTGCTGGAGGGGGAGATCCACTCTTTTTTCATTTAATTGGTATCTTCAGTCTCAGATAACAAGGATAGTTTTTAACTGAGAGTCTTCAGTAAGTGTGAATTGTGTAATTACGTTAAAATAGAAGTAAGGCATTGCAGTTCCTTTGGTTGAGGCAGACAGAGGTGCATTTCTGAGGGTGACGCAGTGTGCAGCCTAGGACTGGATGGGAGGTGATTTCTCCAGGATCAAACAGGCTCTCTGTGGTGGAAACCAGCAGGACGATGAGTTGGCTTGTGTCAGAAAGGTGTTTTTGTTTTTTGAAGGACTAAATGAAGACAGTTTCTGATTGCATCCGAATATGTAACTGTGCTAAAAAGATTGATTGCGTGCTCTGATGGAGTGTGATTTTGTTGTTTGTTTTGCTTTTTCTAAAGAAAGCCCAAGTACTGTGAGGCTTGTAGAGCAAGGCTGAGGTGAAAGTAACATTTCCCTCAGGTGCAGTACTTGGAAGAAGTAAAAGCACAGTTGGAAACCATTTCCTTAAATTAACCTACTGAGAGAAAAATGCTGGTAAGTAGGAAAAGTCATGCAGATAGTGGAACTGAATACGGTTTTGTGCTGCAGAGTGCAGGGCAAGTGTTAGAAAGTAGTTGAGCAGAGGATTGCAAGAGGATGAGGTGTCTGAAGCAGATGAGAAAAGGGAGAGATCTTAAAAAGATTCAGTGTAACATGTTCTAGAGTGCAAGGGCACTGACTGGCCTGCGTTGTTGCCTGACTAGCCTTTGAAGTTAAGCTTGTGTTGCTGGAATTGGAGTAAGTTCCTTGAACAGCAGGTCAGGGTAAGAGTTTACATCCCACTTCTTGGCTTACAGCTGCAGTTAGTTCCCATCAGAGGTGATAATTGATTTCCTTGTTAATGGAAGTATTTGCACTCTGCATGTGAGCGTTTCAGTGTTGCATGTTGCAAGCGCTGGCACAGAAGGCAAATATTTGCAAGGTAGCTGAATAAGCAGTTGAGAAACGTTTGCAAATCTAAGCTGAATTGCTATAATACTTTCTGGAGAGCAGCCAAATTTGGACCTGCTCCAATGCCTTGATGCTACCTTGTGCATAGAGAAAGGGAATGGTCTGGGTCAGAGAGACCAGTTCTCAAGCAAACAGCTGCAGGGATTTGCTGGCCAGCCAGAGAGAGGATTTCAGAGGAACTTGTTGTCCTACCTGCTCTGCCTGCCCTCAGAACAGGGTCAAGAGTATGAAAAGTGAGCTCCACTGGGAAAATGACTGCTTGGTACTGCTGACAGAGACAGAAGGGAGTTACTGAACTGTGTGCCTTTGGCAGTATTCATGCAGTTGGGGAAGGTAGTGTTACATCTTCCATAAGGTGAAAATGTTACTGGTTTTGCACTTTGTGGCAGCAGTGCTTGAAGAAAATGCGTAGACATACATAGGTGTGAAACGTGCAGTCTTAAAAGAAGCCTGTAGATGAGCAGCATAGAAGTGTACAGCCTTGGCATTTGAGAGAAGTCTGGGCTTTAAAGGCTTGTGTTTTTTTGTGCTTGGAAGTGGTTCCAAATGTTGCTCACAGTGCTGCTGTCCTTGTATTTCTGGTATTTAAGGTCCTACACAGAGTGACAGCTCCAAAGCAAGAAATGATGCTCGGTAAGACTTTTTCCCCTTGTTTTTTGCGCTTAATGTTTGCATTTCTGAATGAGGGACTGCATGGTTTACAAACATGATGACTGAATAATTTGTGAAGTTCTGAGCACATCCTTAAAAAATTATACTATTGTACATTCAAATATTTAACTGTCTTTAAAAGCAAGTTAATTGTAACAGGTTTATTTAACATAACTAGCAATAGGAACCTTTTTTTAGAATTAAGCAGAACTGCTTAGTACTAGCTCAGTATAATGTGAGAGAGTTGGCTTTGCATCCAGTAACTTATATTTGCAGATTTTTCTTTATCTGCTTCATTTAAAATGTTGTAAAGCTGCATGGCTGTCAGTCTGGCATCAGAACAGGTGCTTTGGTTTGGCTGAGTCCATCAGCACACGCGGTTGGCATCTTTTACAATTACTCCCAGGTACTGAGCCATAGCTGGAAAGGGTGCATGGAAAGATTTAGGTTCAATTAATCTTCCCTGAGCAATTAAGTGTGTTGTTGTGAGGTGTATATGTATCCTACTGTCTCTGTTATGGGGACAGCACCTTGTGTTAACAGTGCTAATGTTGATGAGACCAGTAAGATTTTGGCTCCCACAGCAGCTTGCTTCATAAATTTCTGCCTTAAAAGGACTGAAATAAGCGTGGTGTTGCTTTGGCTCTCATACATCAATCTACACTCCTAGCTCAACAGTTGCGAGCCCCTTGACATACATTATTCTTGGATTTATAGCTCTTGTGAAAATGCTGGAGCTGAGTGCAGGTTTTCAGTATCACAGGCAAATTCTGTTCTGTTTTGGGGACATGTGGTTGAGTCTCTTAACTTGACTGCCCCTACTGTGAGGAACTATTTCAGGGAGCATAGCAGCAGTAGGCGTTGTTTTTCTCAATGAAAGCTAGCGAGCTGCAGTTTAGAGCTGGTCTGAAAAATACTTGTCTCACTCCAAAGTGCAGAGTATTTCTCCTTCTGGTGTGTGCTGAGTGCAGCTTCCGTTCTCGAGACAAGGATACAAATAAAAATCCCCAAATAAAAAGATTTGAGATTTAATTTCCCGGTGATAAATCAGATTGCATAAAAATAAAAATAATCTTTAAGGAAGTTCCACTGGTGCATAAACACCACAGTGCATGCTTTTTACATTCCTGTTTCACAGCACGGAGGTATCAGAACTCTGTTTTGCTTTGTTGAGAAGATACCGAAAGCTGACAGTTACGGTGTTTGAAGATTGATTTGGGATTGTGTCCCATCCAACATAGTGGAATAAAAGTGACCATATTTAACCTGCAGTGAAGACCAAGCCACTTCAATTAGTTTCCAGTTCTATGAGTATTTTAAGTATTTGTACAATGTGCAGCACTCTCAGATGAGATCTGGAATAGCTGAGTTGATCTGTAAGCAAGCAGGAGAACTTAAACCTCACTTAGCGGAGTAGTCTGGAGTCTTCCTACAGAAGTTTTATATAGTTCTGTTTCCTTTTTTTGCTCAGAAAAATGCTTCTGTGCTTGGGTATGGAATGCCCAGTAATAGTAATATGAGCTTGTGTGGTTTTAGTACCATCTCACAGGGCTTTTGGTGCTCCTGCAGGATCCCTTTTGAGGATCATGTAAGTGCTGTGGAACATACTTAGCAGCACTTACTGCTGTGTGTATAATTACATTTCGTATGCACCATTGTCTTAAAATGCCTGATCTAAGTACACAAAAGATAATAGGTTTTACTTCTGACAGTAAAATTCGAACAGAAGCAGTACTTACTAGGGCCAAGGGAAAGTGAGGCTATAGTTCTTGCAGACTTCACATCCCCAGTGATTTGCACATCATGGTCATTTACTTCAGGGTTGTAGCACGGTGTAAATTGTCACATGTAGCACACCTAGTCTGGGGCAGAGGTACATTTGACATGGATATTGAGGTCAGACGTGGGTAATTCTACTTGATCTCTTACGCGTTGTGGTTTAACTAGGCCTACTTACTACCTACTGTGTGTTTATAAGAATGTAATTTTAAAGGCATTGGTCTGAAATGAAACCTGTGTTTTTATTGCTTATGGCCTCTGTATTTGACCTGCCAATCCACTAGGTAACTAAATGCTTTAGACATAAAGGTGTAGGTGCATTTACCTCCGCTCAGTGGGGTACAAATGTATCAGACTAATACTCTGCTAGGTGTAACTGACTGGCACAGAGTGAATGAAGGCAGCTATTTCAAGTTAAGTGCTTGAAAAGTTGAGATGCTGCTTATTAATTCATAGCTCCTCTTCAAAATCTTAATGCTTAGTCCTAAGTTCTCTTAGCAATATCCAGAACTGAGCTTAGGGGGAGAATCTGTGTGCGTAGTTAATTTGTCTAAAATTTTCAAGCCTTCTGTTTGTTCTGAACATATGCTTACCATGTGGAGCCAATGCACACAGGCTGTTCTACAGTCTTAATCAACTTCCCATCTCATTAGAGACTAGTGGCATTCATGGGAGGAAAAGGTTGAGCAGCAAAGTGCAGAGGTCCTGAAGGCAGCTGTATTGAGTTGGGTAATGAAAAAGGAGGTGTCCACAGCGGCTGTTAGTACATCTGCTTCACTCCGTTTTCATCTCGTGTGCCTCGGGTAAATTCTCAGAGTGTTTATTCAAACCCGTAGTTTTTTTTTTTATAATTATCATGAATGTAAAAATCTTATCTAGCCATAATTATTACATTCTCATTTCTTTTATAAAGCTTGTTCTCATCCATAGACTCTTAGTATAGTTCTCCTTTCTGTCTTTTCCTACAAAGGACTAACACAAATGGCCTTGAAAGCTCTGAAGATGCTGCTTCAAATGAAAACAAGACTGTTAATGGCAGTGATTCTCCACTACTCACCAATGGAAGCTGCAAACCTTCTCGACCTCCCAGGCCTTCCAGACCACCTCCACCCACACCCCGCAGACCCCCATCAGCAGCTGGTGCGTATTCTAGGGCCACAATCCACTCAAAGCTGTGGATTCTCTGTACAGTCTGAAAATGAACATAACATTTCCTGATGCATGTTTTTAACTACAATTTTTTTCATGGTAAATTCTTGGGTATATAACTTCTGTTTGAACAGTTTGCATTCAATATCACTGTTCCTCTTATGAGTAATTTCTTGTTTCCATGACTGATAAGTGATGATTGTAGTGATACTGCTAAATATGTTGGAGCTGGTGTCAAAAGAAGATGAGTGAGTGCTACTGTTGCACTCAGTTAATTTTAATGAGACCTGTGAACAAACCTGCTGAAGGCCTTACAGAACTGTCTCAAGTAGATAATGCTGGGGCTTGGAAGATGAGTTATTTGTTTCTACAGTCCAGGTTAAATTATTTGAAACAGCAGCACTTCAAACATTGATTGCATGAAAACAGATTTGTTTTTTAGTCTGTCTTATAATTTAGAAACTCCAAAACTTGAAGACAATGCTGGGTGTTTTCAGGTTAACTCCTCCACATGCATACACTACTGTGTGTTTTGGTGATCTCGTTGTCACAATTGATAAATGCTGAGGATGGATGGAAAAGTAGGCTGCAGTAATTATTTGAAAAGATAAAGGCAGTGTAGTTTAGTAATAAGAGTTGTGTATAGTTCTTAATACTGCCTACCAAATGGCCTGCATGGGGAAAAACATCTGAAAGCATTTAAAGAATGCATGTATTCTCCCTTCCACAGCCTTAATTTGCCCACATTGTGTCAAATCTCTTCTTGAAAATGTTGCGCATGCTGCCTCTTGAATTGTTGCAAGTAATAATTGGGAAATCCATGGATGTGAGCACATGGTTTTTTCTTTAGAATCATCTCATGTTTAGAGAATGCAAACAAGTTGCTTTGGTGAATCGCTTTTCTTTGTAATATCAAAGCTGTGCAGCTGATAGCAGTTCTTGGACTAAAGCATTTTTACAGAGTGCAGCTAAGTTGCCTTTTTTAAATTTTTTTGTATGAAGTAGGAAATGTGGCTGTATGTGTGCCCTACTTCAAACTACCACCTTCTGCACGTTTACTTTTGTGACTTACAGATACTGAAATAGGTTATCAATAAGGAGAGAAAAACCAAGTAAAGTTTTTTTTTTTTTCTTCTGACACGTCTGGCGTCGTAGGAAGTGTGAATGGTTCTCCATCCACGTCCACAGAGAATGATGGGGCCAGTGCAGGTTCACTGGCAGGCACAGCTGCAAATACATCTTCAGAACCGAGCCCTGAGGGGGCAACAGCAGCAACAACAGCTCCTGCAACTGCTGCGCTCACCACTCCTCCAGTATCAAGACAAGTCCAGCCAGTAAATCCTCCAACTCAGGCACTAACTACAGTCAGTCAAGGTCCTCTTCCACCTGGGTATGAGCTTAATGAATTTTTCAGCTGACGTTTCTGTTTTCTTCTTTTAAGCATACCAAAATACACGTAACATCTATCTTTTGCTGCATAACAGCAATTCCCGAAAGCTTTTAAAGTGAAGGTTTTCTAAACTGTTTGACCTAGTAGACTTTCAGGTGTGTGTGTGTGTGTGTATGGTTTAATCAAGAAAGGAATCAAATTTTAAGTAGTTTTGATGTTTGTTGTGAACTGCTAAGTTGGTGAAACAGAGGTTTTAAATAGTGAGACAACTTGCTGTCTTCAAATTAGAAAGAAGTCAAATGGTAAGAAACATATGAATAAGTAGAAGGAAAGTTACTGTTGCAGGACATAATCTGCTATGTGGCTTTAAATTTCATAGTTCATACATTGCACCTCTTGAGAGCAATGTGGGCACAGTGAGGTATTTCATACCCATGTGGAGTTTGTCAGATGATTGGTCCCTTGCCTCAAAGATATTGTTTAGATTCTGAACTTTGTCTTTAAAGAATAGAACTGTTTCTGTACTCTGAGTGAGGGAAAGCAAAAGCTTCCTAATGTGAGTAGTGTAATAGGTAAATTATTACCTGCTTTAATTTGCCTGCACTTAAAGCAATAGGTGGGTGAGGTTTGGATTATTACCATGCTTACAGGATAACTGTGAAAGCAATTTTGAAAACATCAGTTGTTGCTTTACCATTTTTATTTCATTAGAAATGGTAAATTACTGTGCATTTCCCTCCATGATACATTTGATACAAATACTGGAGTAAGTCCGCATCCCAAACGCTGCGTATTCAGAAAATGCAACTTCAGTGCCCTTATGCTGAACTGCTGATATGTGCTGTGTGCAACGTTTGCATAATTTGGAGATTCAAATTAAATGAGTATTAATCTAATAGGGGATTATGCTCCACTGATGATTCTGCTCAATGCATTACTGATCTGTTTGATATTGAATACAAAACATTGCTTGCTAAGGCAGCATGCACATGCATGAATTCTGGCTTTAGTTTATCACAACCTGAAGGTGGTTATACAGAAAATTTAAAAATTGTTGTTCTAAATGCTTCAAGTGTTTTAGTAAGAGAAGCACTTTACAAAACGAAATGTTTCTCATCTTTTGCTGTATCCTTCATGCTGATGAGCGGCTGGAGTAATTCCACCTCGAGATAGAAGTGATTAAGTGTCGTTTTATTTTCAGTTGGGAGCAAAGAGTGGACCAGCATGGTCGAGTATATTATGTAGATCATGTTGAAAAAAGAACAACGTGGGATCGGCCAGAGCCTCTTCCTCCAAGGTAAGCCATGTAAAGGCATCTGATTGCCTTGGATGTGCCTGGACTGGGTGTATCTAAAACTGACTCAGTTTACTGCAGCTGGAAAGTGCATTTGTACATTGCAACATGAACAAGTGCAAACAATTTATCCAGTTTGTTTCCAGAGAGCTCTACAGTGTGGAAAGGAGTTGAATGTCAAAGATAATGAAATGGAGATTTCTCGTCAAAAGAATAAGCAAGTGGGTGTATGCTGATAAATGGGTGAAAACAGTGGGCACTCTTGACTGTGAAAGATAATGAAAACCGCAGGAGGGTATTTTGTGATTTAGACAACTATTAGCCTGAGCATGTATGCCCTTGGTTACCTATTTATCCTGAGGTTATTGCTTACAGTCCTTTGGTCTTGTCTTAGGATTCCCAGCTGTTAAATTACTATGCTCTTGTAAAGAATCTTTAGTTTTTGGGTGTTTCCAGCTGTCAGAACAGCCAGTGATGTTACACTTTGTGCAGGTGATGTTCTTTCATTTGTTACTCTTTTTTTTTTGTCCATACTGAAAGAAAAACACAATTGTTCTATTGCAATTCATTCAGGCTTAACTGATCCATGTGTTAGAGAATTACAAAGTAAAAGCACATGGGACAGTGAAGAGAATTAGATTTTAAAGAACAAATCAAGCTGGCAGAGAGTAAAGGGAACCTAATTGTTGTATTCAATTATTATTATTTTCATTTTTTTAATTTTGAGAGGATTTGTTACTGTATTATTAAAACTTACTCAAAACCATAGTAGTTTTATTCAAATTTGGGGATTGGATTGGAACCAGGTGGTCTTTAAGGTCCCTTCCAACCCAAGCCTTTCAAATGTGAAGTTTTGTAAATAGTGCTCATGTTTGGGCCCCCAACTCCTCAGGCAGGCCGGGGGCGCCAATCTCCTCTCCCCAGCAAACAAGAATTTCTGTCCAAACAGATTGAACTTATTGAAAAGAGCATGAAGAAATCTTGTAAAACTCAGCTATCTGAGTTTTTCTTGTCTTTATGAGAAGCCTGCAGATTATTGTCTTACAGATTGGCTGGGGTAAATGCAGTAGTAACAGTACATTATTGACAGTGTTTGGTGTAGCACTTGAAAGGTAGGTTTCAACCTTTCAGTGCTTAAACTGGAAGTGCAGGAATTAGAATGAATCTGAGTTGGGAAGAACATAGAGGGGATTACATGTTATTTTAGCTCTTTACATAGCATTAGTGGAGAGCAAAAGATGAAAACCACATCTATTAATGAGCCTGTGCCTCAGGTCTGCTTCCAAATGTAATGGCTGTTTGCCTGTAAGTGCTGCTGAACCATTACAACTGGTGCTCTTGAGAACTCGCAGATCTAATTTTATTTTTAATTTTTTAAAGCTGGGAGCGACGAGTTGACAACATGGGGAGAATTTACTACGTTGACCACTTCACGAGAACAACAACGTGGCAGAGGCCAACGTTAGAGTCTGTCCGAAACTACGAACAGTGGCAGCTTCAGCGCAGTCAGCTTCAAGGAGCGATGCAGCAGTTCAATCAGAGGTTTATCTATGGGGTAAGAAACGCAGTGCTGACTGTAAAAGCTAAGAGAAGCATCTTTTCCGAGTTCTGAACCCATTATTCTCTCTTCTGCAGATTGAAGCTGGGTTTATACGATTGTTTTGAGCCTGTTTGTGGGTGACTTCTTCTGGCAATGATTCCAGGCTTCGTTACAGTTTATTCTTGAGATGTATCGTAGCTTTGAGTTTGTGGCATGGGATGAAGTAGTAATTGGTAACCTTGGCCCATGTCCTTGCAATGGCTGTAGGCAGCGTGATGGTTTTTGCATATATATAATATATATTACAGCTGAATATAGCTGATGTTCTTTTTAAAATTTATGTCTAATATTGATAAAATTAGTGCTGTTTTATTTATATTGTGTCTTGCAATGGCTTAGCCAAAGACTGGGAAGGAAGGCAGGCTCACAGGACATGTTTCTACTCTGGGTGAAATGAAATGAATGTAATCAAGGCAGAGGAATTGAAGATAAACCTTCCAGAATTGCAAGTGTGTTGCTTGCCTCTGAATAGCAGGAGTAATGCCTATAACAGTAGGTGCAGTGCCTCTGAAGTAGGCTACAGAAACTGAAATGCTACTAGCCTGTCAAGAGCAGAGCAGGTTCTGAGTGGTGGGGAAAAGAGTACTGTATGCAGGAATGAAGTGGCTTGCTTTCTGATTGTTTTGGGTACTACTGTACTAATTTCCTTCTGCTTAGGCAGGGGCACTTCACAAAGGATAATTATTTTCTTGGCTCTGCAGTTCATGAGGCATGCCAAGGGCTGTAAAATTAGCTAACAGAAGAGCTTAGTACCAGGGAATAAGTGAGGCCAAAGAAAAGACCAATTTGTAATAACTGCATGCTGTCTTTGCTTGCAGTTTCCACTTTTTTTTTTTTTTTTTTTTTTTTCTTTTTTTTTTAGGAAAAAAAAAAAAATGTTGGCATCTTTAGTTATATGTAAAATCAACAAAAATGCATATATACTTCAGTAATTTATGATGGCTGCGTTAGAACATCTGGAAAGCAAATGGATGGTAGCTGGCCATTATCTGGAAAGCAAATGGATGGTAGCTGGCCATTATTAATGCACCATTTGTTTGTGTGACTTGCAGAACCAGGACTTTTCTTCCACTCAGAACAAAGAATTTGATCCCCTTGGCCCACTGCCACCTGGATGGGGTAAGGCTGATTTGAAATAGTGTTTTGTAAGGCAGTGTAATTAGACATTAAAGCATTAAAGATTTCTGCCAAGTTATTTTATCAGCTTTTCTAGGCTACTTTTGTTTAAATGAAAATCTAGATTATTTTTCCTTTCAAAATTAAATCCAATCAAGCATTCTGTTAAAATGTCACGTCCTGACAAGGATGTGCAGTTCTGAAGTGCTTTAGAAACTACAGAGTATTCTGTTTTCTCTCAGAAATTGTTGTGTCACAGTAGCTTCTTTCACACTGTCATCCTATTTTTCACCACTTTCCTTAGGCAGGGTTTACCCCCTCTCCCGCCACCCTGGGTATTTATTGCTCTGAAAAGCTTTTGTAATGACAACTAATAATCACTCCTGGACTTGTCCCTCTCCCTGGGATAAATTTGTTTGGTTTTGTACTTCACAGGTTTAACAGTTTACAGTGAATGCAATTTTTTGTGCATGTGTATAAAAATGTAAAATTTAATTCCTGTGACTGTGAAGCAGATGTGAGAACTCAGGTTTCATGATACACAGGCAGTGTTATCAGGATTGTTTAATTTTAAAGCAAGTGGCTGCCTGTCAGAGTTAGAGTTGGGATTTTGTTGTTTTGTTTTTCAAACATTGCTTGGATTTCTGTTCTCATGTAGATGCAACATCACGCCATAACGTTGTTGCGCTTTGTTGCACTACATATGCAATATTTCAAAGCATGTTTTTCAGACTGATGTTGCTTGGGAAGCCATGAAACTGCATTTCCATATTGAGATGAATGTTGCTGCCAGTGCAGCTCCTGTGGACAAGTGTCTGCTTCCAGACTTCCCTTGTAAATTGTAGCTTTTTACCTATTGTAGTCAAACTTTGGCCTTTTTTTGTCATTTGTCTTCTACATTCTGCATGCCTCATAACTCCCTAAATAAAAATGGTGTAAAGAAATGCCAGATGATCCAGAAGACCAAATCCTTGCATTTATTGTAAACGGTTTAGAGTCATGGACACATATTTACCTGAGCAAAAACCTTGGAAACCACGTTCACTTTCATTTCCTGTCTGTTAGATGAGTATGAAAGATGATACTGCTGTTCACAAACCTTTGTACTTTCTTGATTCTTTTATGTACCTCTGCAGCCTCTTTTGTCTTCATTGTCTGTATGGTTTGTGAATAATGTAGCAAAAATCAAAGCAGCTGGGATTTCTTGTGGAGAAAACAGCTTCTCTTTTTGCTTGCTTCCAATTGTTTTTTTCTTAGAGCTAAAAAAAAAACATGGTAAAGGATCTTAATAGAGAAAATCATCTTATCTATGTTTTAATTCTTATACATTTTTAACTTGGAAAAATACCTGAAAAAGCTTTTTAAGAAGTGCAAGAAGAAGGCCAGTGTGTGTAATGAAGGTGAATCTCTTGTGGTTAACTGTTTCCTTCCCACAAATGTTTCTGTTGTTACTGTGATGTCCAGACTCACTGCTATTAGCTGCACAGTTGTAGACAGCTGATCTTTTCATGGTAAAAATTGAGATGCTAAGAAATTCTGCATGAACACCATAAGTACAGCTTTTCACTGGGGATGGGTGATGATGCAGTTTCATATGATTATTAGCAGTTGGAATTATTTAAATAAACTCCCGTTTGTGAATAGCCTAGTAAGGCATAATGTCAATGAAAGTGAAAAGCTGTTGTGTCTGAGGAGGTATGGAGAAACTTGGACACAGGTGAGGCTGTGGCAGGCTCTGGTAGTTGGATTTATTTGTTTAATTTCATGTTTCAACAGTATGGTAACCTAGGTCTTGAAATTTGTTTTCCTTTTGTATATTTTTAGAAAAGAGAACTGACAGCAATGGCAGAGTGTATTTTGTCAATCACAACACACGTATCACGCAGTGGGAAGATCCTAGGAGTCAGGGGTAAGAAATCAATTGCAGCTTCTTGTAAATCTGAAGTGAAAATGTAACAAAGTAACGATGATGAGGGCTCGGTGATGCTGCTTGTGGCTCAAACATAGGCTGTCACAGAATCATAGAATGGCCTGAGTTGAAAGGGATCTTAAAGATCATCCAGTTCCAACCCCCTGCTGTGTGCAGGTCACCAACAGCAGCCCAGGCTGCCCAGAGCCACATCCAGCCTGGCCTTGAATGCCTGCAGGGATGAGGCATCCACAGCCTCCTTGGGCAACCTGTGCCAGTGCTTCACCACCCTCTGGGTGAAAAACTTCCTCCTAATATCCAACCTAAACCTCCCCTGTCCCAGTTTAAAACCATTCCCCCATGTCCTATACACAGTTCTCAGACGGTGATTTTTAAAGGATGCCACTGAAATGGAGATTGTCAAAAATACCACAGAGTAATAATAGAGTTAGCAGGAAAATCTTGGTCAGCAGCAATGAGTTAATTCCCCAGAACAGTTCCTACTATTTTTATGTATTGTATGTATATTTGTATTGCTGCGGGAGAGAGAGAAGGATTTCGTGCATCCTGTGATGTAGAAGATTCTGAGTCAAGACATTGTTTATCAAACAGACAATAGCAAAGAGATAGAGATAAAACACAAACTCCAGGAACCGCAGCACTTCCTCCTTATCATTTTTTTAAATTAAAAAAAAAAAAAACAAAACTACAAAAGAGAAACAAAGAAAACTTGGGACACCACCACAAGTAATTGATTAGTGTTATTACTATTTAGTTTGGGGTCCAGTTTCTTTGTCTCTCGGAGGTAGGAAGTGAAGAGTGAAGGATGTTTCATCCCAGATTTTCTGAGTGAGATGAAAATTTCCACCAGGTGAAACAACTTCACCTCTCCCTTACACAAGAGGAAGAGAAGTGGAGGTGCTAATAGCTGTAGCCAGAGAACACGGCCTTTCTGTGCCAGGCACATCCGCAGCAGCTAACTGAATGGAAAACACTATTATTTCTAATAGCCACCTACATTTATAGCTTGAAACATGATCCTACAGTGTCTTTCCATGGGGGAAGGTCTCTGGGAACACTTTGGTGGATACTGCTGAAGATTTCCAAGTATTTCAAGATACCCTTACACTGATATCAGACTTGAGTTGGAAGTTGTCAAAAAGTTACACAAGAGGGCTGTTTGTATTTCCTTTATGTTCTTTTATTTTTGTCATTCTGAAACACTCGAAGCTTTTGGCTGCTGCAATTATACGTGAGGTAGCTAAAGCTATTTAGTAAGGCAGTGTCAGTTTCAGAGTAAAAATGACAGTTTCTATTTGCTGTTATTCTAGATAATGCAACTGAAAGAGCTAAAAATTTGTTTAAACAATCACTGTGGTCTGAGAGCTGACTTGAAAATCGGAGAGAACAAGACAGAATAAATGGAAAGTTTCTCAGCCTGCACTTCTAGACGCACTAAAATTGTTACTGTCTCCAGTCACTGATCGGTTGCCTTAATTGTGTTAAGTTGCATGAAGTTCCCATGTGTTTTCTTGTACTCACAGTCAATTAAATGAGAAACCCTTACCTGAGGGTTGGGAAATGCGATTTACTGTGGATGGCATTCCGTACTTTGTGGATCACAATAGAAGAACCACTACATACATAGATCCCCGCACGGGCAAGTCTGCTCTGTAAGTGTCTTTGACTACTAGCTTTTAAACGTGAAGTTCAACAGCCATCAGTTTTGAAAGTTTATTTCCTCTTTGTTTTGTGTACAGGAAGCTTTTCATGTAACCTTTTTTTTTTATTTTTTAGTCCACTGATAACTCCTCCTGAAGAGGAGTGTTTTGAACACTTCAGAATTCCCCTTGCTAACTAGCAGATATGACATGAAGTTTATTGGTATTTCTAATGACCAGATCCCTTTCTTCCATTTACTAGTCTTTCTTTTTGTAAATACTCTTTCTTTATTTGCATTTTAGGAGATTAAGTGGAATTAAAACCAGAACTTAAGTACAAACTTAAATTAACCGAATGGTCAATGACATTCCATTCTTATTACATTTCTAAATACAATTAATAGGTAGATACTGTTGAAAAAATACTGCATATACACTTTACAAAGGAGAGGTTGTTTTAGTTTAAAAATGCAAAAAGCCTACATTCTCAAGTGAAAAGAATATCCAGCCAGAAAGCCAACTGAACCGTGTAGCTACATAGATAATAAATCAGCAGACTTTGTCTTAAATTACGGAAACACTCTTGAAATTCTTTCTTCTTGCTTTGGTTCCAGAGACAATGGGCCCCACATAGCCTATGTTCGGGATTTCAAGGCAAAGGTCCATTATTTCCGATTCTGGTGTCAGGTATGGATTTCTTTATTGGGAACATTTGTTTGCTTTTTTGTGTTCTGCTGACTTGCTGTGAATGAACCACTTATTCAGTGCTCTACAAATAAGATTAATCAAATAAAATTAATTAACCTACTTTAAGTGAATTTAAAAAGGGGAGAAAAAACACCAGGCCTGCATAAATTGATGGAAGTGGGAAGGCAGCTTTAAAACTTGGTATAGAAAACCTACATTTATTTACAGTTTATTTTGCAAACTGCTGAATTTAAGACTGCAGTTTTCCTTACACTGTTAGTAAGTAGATGTGTGAAAGCACAGTATTCTGAAATATGGTTAATACACGATGTAGTTTCTGCATAAATGCTTCTGAAAGAAAGAGCAAGATGTCTGGCACAGAACATTTATGTCTAAGCTTGGAAGAATATCCTATGTTACAGATTGGAATGGCCTCACGTAGGAGCAAATTGCACTGTTAGTCTTGGTCCTTTAAATTCTGCAAATACAATAGGATTATGTAACTTGGTGCCTTGGAAAAAGTCTTTGTTTTAACTGGTTCAGTTTTCAGAAGTCCATGAATTATAGTTTGAAAAAGCAGAGTGGTGCTTAATTTTTCACCTTGCACAGAACAACCACAGAACGTTTTGTTTTTTTTTTTAATTAAATGTTGTGCTGGAAGGCCTGCTGATTTAGAGCATGTGTTTGATCTTAATGTTTTCCTACGTTCTGGCAGAGTACACTTTGAAGCTGCTCAAAGCAGGATCAGAAGACCTGTGTACCTTGCTGTAGATCTCAGTTGTGGAAGCAATTGTTCTTGGCATAAATTGAAGTGAAAGTGTCTTGATTGCTGGCTGCTTATATGGATTAGTGACATCCACCTTTACCTCTTAAAACAGTGTCTGTAGTAAACTACAGTTAAAACAGTATTAGAAACATGAAGTGATTGTGTATCTCACCTCTGCAAAATGTCATTTCAGCAACTGGCAATGCCACAACACATAAAGATCACAGTGAGCAGAAAAACATTATTTGAAGACTCATTTCAACAGGTATTGTACTAAAACATATTAGTAGTGGGCATAAGAAGTTGAATTGAAGTAATCTGTTATCTGTGTGTCATTCTTAATGCCCTGACATCTTAATAATGTTATTTGAATAGAGACTAACAAAAACTAACAGCATGCAGCCTTGCTTGTATATCTAAAGATTATGCAAAAATGTGAAATTGTGTCTCCAAGTGTCACTGTGTCCATGAAACAAATATAAATATATCTATGTCTTCTCTATCTGTTTATATATGCATATAAATTATTTGTTTTTCCACTAAGTTCTTTAAAATCTTGTTTTGGGAAGAGTGCAGCTCCCCCTCCTGTGGAAGTTAGCGTGCTCTGCTGTGTTGGCACACTTATCCTGTGTTCCATAAGCACACTTTTGTACCAAAATACATTAAGCTGAACTTTGTCTCAGTGTTAGAGATCTTCAGAAGAGTAATGAGGTGGTTGAAGAAAACCAAAATGATGAATTGTATTTAAATTACTAGTAGCAAAATTTCACAATGCTTAGAGACTTAAACCATGCTTAAAATTTGTTTCTGTACAGTATTTGTAAGTGCTTTGGAATTCTCCTTTTACTTTTTTAATGTTAATTGTGGCAATAATTGCTTCTGTTGCTTGTTAAATAGAAGCTGAGAGCAGCTGCTTTTCAGTCTGATAGAAACAAATTTGAGCATGCAGAAACTACATGAGAATCTGCTTGGTCAAATAATAAAGGGGGCTAGTAGCAGACAAAACAAGCCCTGGAACTGAAAATTGACTCCAAACTAATTTCTGAAATTGCACTTTGTCATTTTATAGTAATTATAGAAGTAATAAAATTATGTTACTACTAGAAAGAAGCAAGAGAGAGGTAGTACGACCATGTGCATGTCAACAGACCTTGGAATGTTTAAGAGAACATGCTGCTTGATCAGTAGTTTAGATGATGATTAACTGTAGTTAATCATTTGTCAGTAGTAGTTATTTGTGTTGGAAATACAGAATTTGCTGTGATGATAACTACAGGCTAGTAGAGATTTTAAAATAATTTTTTATCCAAATTCTATGCCTGTCATTGCAAACAATTTTCATTCTAGGTGGTTTTTTGTTTTTTTTTTTTGCGTTTTTTCTTCACTGCTTGTAACTTGGGTGCCCCTCAGGTGCCATTCAATGTTGTATTTTAAAGATCCTGAATGTATGTGCTTTGGCCCCAGTGTTATTTTTTGGCTGTTTTCTTTTTTTTTTGTCAGGTACTTATGTGCAGGCTGTTGGCCTAAGCATGAGTCTTTGATTTGCAAATTATTATTTTTCTTTCTTGTTAATTTGTGGAAATATGTTTGCTACTAATGCCTCAGTGAACGTTAGATATCAGGACAAACTTTGTTGCAGGAAGGGTTGTTGAGCAGTGAAATGGGCTCCCCAGGGAGGTGGTTGAGTCACCATCCCTGGATGCGTTTGAAACTGTTTGGATGTGGTGCTCAGGGCCATGATTTAGCAGAGGGCTGTTAGAGTTAGGGTAGGATGGTTGGGTTGTGGTTGGACTCGATGATCTTTAAGGTCTTTTCCAACCTGAGCAATCCTATGATTCTGCTATTTCATGAGTTCATGATTCATTGAATGCTGCTTGGTGTAGTAAATAGTAATATGCCCAGCCAATGCTTATAGCTGTTTTCTTCACGTAAATGGATTGTTTTTCTTTTACTAAGATAATGAGCTTCAGCCCTCAGGATCTGCGGAGACGTTTGTGGGTTATTTTCCCTGGTGAAGAAGGCTTAGATTATGGAGGTGTTGCAAGGTGAGCTGAACTAAAATGGCAAATAATGGTTTTTCCTGCAAGCTTTTCTGAAGGCTTCTCTGAAGTACGTCCTTGGACTGCAGCGCTTTCAGAATATTAGCAAAGCTCATTCCTTATCTTTTCTTAGAATATCACTGCATGCCTTAAAACTGTTTAAGACTCTTTTCAGTTCACTTTAGGAATTGCTTTAATCTGTCTCAACAGATGCAGAGTTTATTGGCTTTGTCATGACTGTTGATAACCACAGTAGAGGTTTACTGAAAATGCCTGGAAATCTACTTTCAAGTCAAACCTCTTACGTGAATATAATGAGAAGAGCATAAATTAATTAGCATTGCCTAAAAGTTTACAGTTTAAGCCCATGATAGCATTTTAATTGCCTGTTTAAAATGAGGAGTCATTTTTCACACCACTGATGGTAGGATAACATTGTAACTTTGCTTACTAAACCATCATTTTTGTTAGTTTCAGTTCAGTTTAGCCATAATTTCTGGGAAAGAAGTCAGCTTGACTACTTGTATTGGCAAGTTTCTAGGTCAACTTTCAGCTTATCAGTTTGTTCAGCTCATTTTTAATCTTTTGAGATGTACTTTTTGTTGTTTGTGATTTCAGGGAATGGTTCTTTCTGTTATCACATGAAGTTTTGAACCCAATGTATTGCCTGTTTGAATATGCTGGAAAAGATAACTACTGCTTACAGATAAACCCAGCCTCCTACATTAATCCAGACCATCTGAAATACTTCCGTTTCATTGGAAGGTTCATTGCCATGGTATGTTCAAAAACAAAAGTTATCTCTGCAATTTTTCCTTGAAATATTTTGTCATCAAATGAATAATTAAAAATGCATCTTTGAGCTAAAATTTTTACGAGGTGTTTGGGTATAACTACTATGAGTATAAATGAATCAAATATATTAGCAGCTGTAATATTCTGGGTTGCTCTAATATTGAGCTCTCAAATTTCATTGGTTCACAGTACAGAATGTTGTCATATTGAGTATTCAGTCATCCTTTGCATTATTTTGTTTGTTTTCATGTTCTTCAGGCTTTGTTCCATGGAAAATTCATTGACACTGGTTTCTCTCTGCCGTTCTATAAACGTATCTTAAACAAGCCAGTAGGACTCAAGGATTTAGAATCTGTTGACCCAGAGTTTTACAACTCTCTCATCTGGGTAAAGTGAGTTTGACTTGATTTTGTTCTTGAAATGGCAATAAAATGTTTATTTTTTTCACTTATGCCAGAAAGGGAATGTAAATTTATTACTGAAAAAAACCCAAACCACCAGTGAGCAGCAGGGTATGTCAATTACAGAACAGTAATGGAACTTTTACCCTCATTTGAGATACACAAATAATTAGATATACAAGACTTCATTGCATTTTTAGTTCACTGGATATTCTGCACAGCATCTTGTGTTCCATTATTACTGTTTTTAAATAAATGTAGCTAGACAGAAGCAGTACTCTTGCATGCTGTTACTAATAACACAAGTAAATTCCATTGAACCTGGAAATCAGCGAAAGAAATCAGCAAAATTCCTGTCAGTAGTGCTTTAAAATAGCTGATTTAGTTAGAAAGCACATTGGGACTTACAGTGACTTGCAGTTAGTAAATGTAGATTATTATTTGCTGTCACGTAATTCTTATGTCAGTCGTAGCTGCATTTTTTACTGAACAATTAATATCAAGGATTTAAAGTTAATTCTTGTATATTTTCTAGCTGTTGTTGCTTTTTTGCTCCAAGGTGGATGATTTAAGCCCATTTCTACATCTAGCCTTCCATGTATGCATTGTCAATCATCTGTACGCTCTACATTCGTATTCTTTTTAAGTCCTCCTTCACTCCTTTGCAGATTTCCTCTCCAGAGAGCAGTAAGTAGAAAGGATCTGCAGTTTATGGACAAGAACTATTTTGGAAATGTCACCAAAAATACCACTTAGTAATAATTTTAAACAGCATTTAGTTCTAAGGCATTGTAATTTGGTACTAATTCTGTAAGAGCAAGATTCAAGGGTTGTTATGCATCGTTTCTTCTAATAGCAGTGGTGATTTTCCTTTCCTGACAGTTAAAAGCAAGACTTGGGGGCTGAGGAGTAGAAGGGACAAAAAGTCAGTTAAAACTTCTACTGCTATAATAATAAATAATAATTTTTTAAAAATCGGCAGAGTTAGGCTGGTTTATGTGTCTAGAGAGGTAAAACTTATTTCACTCCAGAACGATGAAGCGTTTTTTAAAAAGCTTAGGAGATGAATGCATTTTTTAAAAGCAGAAACATGACAGACAAAAAGTAGTGAATCTCTGGTGATGAATCTTGGGAGTGTTATCGTAAGCAAGGAAGAAAGGGTGAGAGAGCTTTTGAGATATTTGCAAGTTGAAATAGGAGTTTTGGATCAGTTTTGAAAAAGTAGCCTGTTCTGTGCTGGGTAATGTGCTGTTAGAAGGTGTGTAAGTGAACATTTCATTAGGAAACTTCAGTAGTTGGTATTTGAGTAAAGATGCCGAGAAATTGAGACCTGAAAGGGAAAAAAAGATGGAAGGCTTGATTCTTGTAATTAAAGAACCTCTAGTAGGTGTGTATTTCTTTCTTCATAAGAAGAAGACACCATTTGTTATCTGCAGCGTCTGATGCACGGACTCAGATGTGAATGATCCAAATCATTTCTTACAAGTTCTCACATCACAGGTTTTCTTTTTCTAGCTTTCCCATCCACCCCTACAACTTCCCCATCCACCTTTACATGCCAGCAGAGCATTCTACAAACACTCTTCAACCATTCACGCAGGCACTTCTCCAGTCAGAGCCGTGAGATGTTCGTTCTTCTAGAGGTGTCCTTGGTCCTCATGCTGTTTATCTTGCTCCACAGCTGCTGCTCTAAACAGTTTTTGTTGAATTCCCACAGTTATCCTATGACTCACTGGGTTTTAGAAACCAAACAAATACAGCAGTGAGAGAAAGGCAAGCTACAGGAAAGAAATTTACACTAATTGCTCTTTAATCAAGGCACATGGAACTTGTGAATAAATTCTAATAAGTACCACATGTAACAAAATTTACCTTAAGAACAATGTCAATCCATTCCTGTTCTGTGGAAAGTCTAAGAGTGAAGGAGTGGTATTAACCTTGTGTGAACATAGCCACCTCTTTGCATTTGTCTGTGCAGTACAGGTGAGCTGGGCACTTGTTCAGCACTATCGTTTGCACATTTCAAAGCAGTGTTTTGGGTTTTTTTTAATAACATCTGATAGATAACTTGAAGGTCTTTTGGTGCAGAAGTGTGTTGTATTTATCCTCTGTATAGTTCTTCTGATGCTTGTGTTACTGTAATGGATCAAAAGAGAGCACAGAGCCTTCTGCATATCAGTCTAAGCTACTTGTCAGTGGCAGTGAAGAGGACTTGTAGATATTACAGATTACTTTTTCCCCCTCCTCACCTTTACTTCAACGTGTGCAGCATTACCAGACAGCTTTCAGGTGATAGTTTGTGTGAGCTTTCCAAGTACAAGAAGTTTGAGTATGTTTCCAAGTAGGACCAGCAGTCCTACCAGGAGAAGCTTACACAGGAAGTATAGGGAGCTAGGAAACTCAGAACTTGTCAAAAACAGCTTTTGCATTTCACTCTAAATGTTAGTTTCAAATTCCTGGTTACATACGCTTTTATTAATTTACACTTAGTATTTTGAGGGGGTTTCTTTTTGGCTAGTTTGGCTGTTTGGATTATTTTTTTTTTTAACTTCTAGTTCATTGCCTCAGAAAAAAAAGCGATGAGGAAACTTAGGGCTGTAGCAAGAAGTTTTCTGAAAGCTATCTCTAGCAAAAACACAAGCTATATATCAATTGCAGTGTCTGTACTGATACAGCAGTCTTCTAATCTGGAGTTCATGAAAGCTTTGCCCCTTTTTGAGTAAACACGGAAGTTTGTGAGCATTTCAGAGAAGAACCTTCAGACCTCTAAGCACTGTGCACTGAGCTCTACATGCAGAGGTCAGCAGCTGGACCTGCTTACCAGCACTGCTGAAGGAGATGACTGTAAGTGTGCAGTAAAAAAAAAAAAACACAGCTGGCAGAGTGTGGATACCATGTTATTAATCACCAAAAAAGCAAATGATGCAAGTTCCCAGGAAGTTTTGCAGTAATGTGGAATCACTTTCTGCTCGTTTTTCTCATTTCCACTGTTTCAGAAAATCTGCAGAATTACTTTGTTTGGAAAGTCCTTGAGAGTTCGTCTAGTGAGGCCCCTCTGCTCAAGCTGAGTCAAAGCAGGTGTCTTTCATTTGAAAGGAAGAAGTAATTTTATTTTGCCATCCGTCAGCTCTCCTGAGATTTCATATTGTATTTTGGAGAGATGAAATTGAGAAGCACCGTTGCATCACAGCACTAAATACATCACGGTGGTGTTTTCAGTATTGCTGTTTCTATGTTTGTAGCTCAGGACACTTGCATTTTATGTTGGAAGTGTTCATCAAGTGGTGGGTTCACACCAGTTGTCGACAGAACACCACCACCCCATGCTGTCACTGCCCCTCCTCAAAGGAAGAGGGGGGAAAGAAAATGTGGTTGGAAAATAAATGAATGAAATGCTCGTAGGTTGAGACAAGGACAATTTAAAGGAAAAAGAAAAACATCAAGCAAAGGCCGTACAGGGGGAGAAAACAATTATCCTCTGCTCACTATAGAATGACCTGGGTTGGAAGGGACCTCAAAGTCCATCTGGTTCCAGCTCCACTGCTGCCAGCAGGGTTGCCAACCACTGGATCATCTTGTCCCCATCCAGCCTGTCCTTGGACACCCCGAGGGATGGGAGATCCATCAGTAGTAAGCAGTGTTTGGCCACCCCTTGGAAAGCAGGACCTCAGTACGTGCTGTGCCCCTTCCCCAGCTGTTTGTGCTGTGTGTGGCATCACCTGGTGTGCAACATCCCTTCCGTCAGTGTAGATCAGTGCCCTGCTGATGGCCCTTCCCCCTCCTCTTGCCCACACCCAGCCCTGCTGGCTCAGGGGCTGCAGAGTTGATGCTGTGCCGGCACTGTTTGGCAGGAGCCAAAACGTGGCTGTGCGACCAGTGCTGCTCTAGCAGCAAGTGCAAAGCACTGCACCGTGTGGCTGCCGCGGGGACAGCAGCCTTGTCCCTGCCTGCCCCAGCACAGCACCCTGCGTATGTGCATCGCTGCTGTCTAGGAGCACTTACCAACATAGACATTGCAATGTTGCACCTGTTATTCTGGCTACTGAACCATATAGAGAGAACAGAGATCCCAGCAGTGTTTGTTGAATGAAGGTTCTTCTTACTTCCAAGTCTCTAATGAGAAAATTCCTCTTTCTCAGGAATGCATTATTTTGTTAACTTAGGAGCTTGGGATGTTTTGATACGTTTACAAGACAGTCCCATAAATATACTGGAGTTGAAGATAGTTCATTAAGCATTCTGAGTCTTTCTCTTCTTATCTGCTATTACTTGGCAAGGCAGCAGGTAATGAAACACAACAGTGTCATTATTGAAAGGTTTTTGTATTCCATGGGCATTCCGCTTAGAGGCAGTGGGTAGTTTGTCAGCCCAGTGACACATGAATTTAAGGATGCTATTGTACCTAGTGCACAGTTTGCTTATGCACATCAGTGGGGTGAATCTTACAGAACCACAGTTATTGTGTAACATTTCCTTAACTTGATTCTTGAGCTCTAAACAGTTAAGAAAAGCCCCTATATTCTTCATACACGTCAATTCTACTGCGTGCACAGTCTGGACCTGGTTATTTATTATCACGTTTTCTTCCTTGCAGAGAGAATGATATTGAAGAATGTGGCTTGGAAATGTTTTTCTCAGTTGATAAAGAAATTCTGGGTGAAATCAAAAGCCATGATTTGAAGCCAAATGGTAGCAACATTCTTGTGACAGAAGAAAACAAAGAAGAATATATTAGGTAAGATTAAGTGAAGATTTTGAAGTACTCTTATCTCTCCTGTTTCTTTTATCTCAATCAAGAAAATACTGTCACTATGCAATATGAAGCATTATTGAAATTCTGTCTATGAATAATTACTGATGTTGGCAAAATATGGCAATCGTTCAGATTCTGCATTTGGAAGGAAAATATTGATGGAAATATTTTAAAAAATATATTACTTTTCCCAAAAGATTCAGTTTAGTAGAAGCTCCACTTGTTTTGTTTTTTTCCCAGAAATAATTTAGTTTAGCAGAACATCATGGCAACAAATGTGAATGGTAGTTCCCCATTGCACACATTATTATTCACATTTTGCCTTTGTAGACTGCTGATATTCTCTCCAGCCATTTATGCTGTTGCTTGTTTTTAACCAAAGAACATTTTTGGATGCTTTTGTGGTAAACTTGAGTTTTTAAAAATGCATCGTTTCGATACTGGTTTCCATGTGAACTGCCCTTACAGTGCTGTTATGTCCTGGCATTTGTAACAAGGCAGCATTGTGAATAATGTGAAGTGTTGTACTGTCGTAAATGAGGAATTATGATATAGCAGCACCAGAAGGTTTTAAAGCAAGGAAAGGAGCCTACGAGTGATTACAGAAGAAAACCATGAGCTCAGGTGGTCTGGAGAAAAACTATGAGGTGCCTTGTCTCGAAAGATCCCCTCCTTGTCTCTAAATATCCCCAGTGAGCAGCAGTGTACAAGCTCTGCTTTAAGGTGTGAACTTCAGCATCATCTTACACAGAGGATCTGCTCAGAACAAAGAGGAAACAAACGAGAAACCACTGCACACATGGCAGACATGAGATAAATTGAATCAGTAAAATTTTCCTCTTTCTTATGATGTGTTCTGTGAAGGCTTTTTGTGGGAAAGGTTTGAGAGATGAGAGAGTAGGAATTGCTTTCGTGAGTCGTCCAAGAACAGTTCACAGAAATTGTAACATTTGCAGAAGGAACATATTGGCATTTTGCAGTTGTGCAAAATACTGATTGGGATGGAGAGTAAGCAGTATCTGCAGAAGATCATTCTCTTCTAGTTTTGAGGAACCCAGGGAGAGCTCGGATTGCAGCCTAAGTAATATTCTTCTGCCATACTCTGGGTCCTGTGTTATGTTCCCCAGAGTTTCATCTCTCCTTTAGATTCCAGTTCTCCTGACAGGTTAGGCTTGAATTCAGCATAATATCTGCTTCTCCCTGGGTTCAGGTTCTTCGGGTCTCCTGCCTGCTTTTCACCTTTTTGTTAATGGAGAGTGGAGTTTCTACCACAGAGCAAAGTTTCATGATTAACAGAAACAAATATGGAACTTTCCAAATGGACATAGTCGTTTCTTGGTAAGCTAGCAGTCCTACTTATCTTCACCAGTACACCTGACCTAGATTTTACCTTGTCATGGATAATGACTGAGATTTCTGGGGACGATATTAGATGAATCTAGCTCTGCCTTTTTTTTCCTTCTCCAAATACCTGGGGACTGCTGTGCTCTCATTAATATCATCAGTGAGTAGATGCTGCCTCCTGTTTGAGCTTCAAATGCTTTCCGTAGCAGTGGTTGGAAACACAGGGTTTTAACTTGAAACTGTTGGCACAGAGTGAAGGCTGCAGGTGCAGTTGCACAGTGCTCTGTCCCCGGAACTTCCCAGACTTTACGTAACTTTTCTTAACATCACTTATGGTTCATTTCAGAATAAACTAACAGAGATTAACTTGGGTTGGCATAGCCCATTTTAAATTATCCTCCTGTATCTTCTACAGGCTGGTAGCAGAATGGAGACTTTCCCGAGGTGTTGAGGAACAGACACAAGCGTTTTTTGAAGGCTTCAATGAAATTCTGCCACAGCAGTATCTGCAGTATTTTGATGCTAAGGAACTGGAGGTAAAGGATTGTTTGACTATTGCCAGATCCAGGCTGTGACACGTAGTACTTAAATTTCAGTCAGTGTCTGAAGAACAGAGTTTGTGAAGGCTGACAGTTCTGTTCTGAGAATGTGTGAGAGAAGCCTCACGTGTT